GGTTCCTGATTTTCCAAAATTAAAAAACACTCAAAATCCGGGCATTTAGAAAAGGAAAACAAGTTTTAGAAGTTGGGCATGTTTTTGCTATACATAAAGATTATTCATGGCCTTTCAAAAGGTGAAAATTTAAAAAAAAATTAATTCAAGATCCAGTTGCAATCCATTTCAGTCAAAAGCAATCCATTCCAGTCACATCCAAGTAACATCCAATGTATCTCAAAAGCATCTTAATAGAGAAAAATTAGTCATAAAAATCTGTAACGATCCACAGAGTCAGCTATAGACACATGATGTATACTTATGTATACTTATACATGATATATCCTTTGCCGAGTAACCTGATATTAGAATAAACTAGCCCGCAGATTCAGCGTACAGGGAAACCTAATAGACATAAAGCTACGTGTGACCGCTTTTGTATTTCTTGTGCAAAATTAAGGAACAGGTTTCTGACAGACAAATGGTAGTTTCCACTCGTCACTGTCTGGCACGTTGTCAAGAGCCTTCWTGGCAGYATTRACTGTTCCTATTGGTCCAGTTGGCTGGGTGAMATTCCAGAGAGAGGATCTAACTGCTTCTCCGTTCGTCCACTTCCATGCACCACCAGCATCCTGTACGAAATAACAAAGAATTCGTTGGGTAAGGCTGATCATTTAAATCCCGATGTCGAGAAATTKTTTTACTTTTTTTCGTTAATTTTTACATTCTCAAGTCTCTCGATTTCCCTCTCCGAAAGATTCAAGATTATTATTTTAAACACTCGTTGTGAAACATTTTTTCTATCTGATCTTACCTGACTCAAACCCACCAGAATTTGTTGGTCTGCGATGCTTCTTCTYTGCAGATAGTCTTGGAGGAAGATTAGCTTAGCCTTTGAGTTAAACACTCCGAGAATCCCACCTTCGAGAGCGCATGTCTGAGCAGCTGGCGTCTGACGAGCCTTGGTGTCAAGAAAAAACTTGTAACAAGCTTGACGATTCTGGTGCCAGTCTTTACCATCATTACAATTATCTGTGACAAGAACAATGTATGAGTCAAATAACAGAGTCTGTTTATCAGAATGTTGAACTTAATGGAATGTGTCTAGGGAACAAAAATCTCGAGCTTCACGCGGCTTTGAATACAATAGTGCGCTTTTACGTGACGATGGGACATGTCCCTGCTAAATTTTCCAGCGTGTGTACAAGTTGTGATTTTATTGCAGGCGTGCTAATCGTCCCTGCTACACCTCCCCTCGTGTKTACGTTTCAATTGTGCCGCTGCTACGTGTCCTTGCGGGACACYATCCCCCTACTTATCCGTGAGTGCGTACATGTTGTAAATGTGTTAAGGCTACATATCGCTGGAACACGTCCCTGATACATTTTCTTAAGCATGCGTCTGTTGTAATTATGCTACTGATACATGTCTCTCCAACATGTCCCAGCTACACGTCCACTCGAGTGTGTACAGAACGTGATTGTGTCGCTGCTACATGTTTCTGGGTCATGTTCCAGCTAAGTAACCCCTAGTCTGTAAATGGGTCTATACGTGTCATATTCTATTTTTTCAAATCGAGGCGTTCATAATGTATGGCAAGGGGGGGGAGGGCAGGTGGAAATTTGAAATGTCCAGAATAATTCTTAACACCCCCCCTTAAAGTC